GATCTCGGTCAAAATATCCTATTTCTGTACTTTGAAATGAGATAAAATACTTTCGTACTTTTGCATTTATTATTTTATAAAATATGATGATCAAATTAGTCGTTTTACATCATCGGGCAAACTTTTTGTATGAAAATTATTATCAAAGATAAGATGTACTTATTAACAGAAGCTTAGGAGTAAAAATATGTCAAAAAATGTTAGGGACATATATACTGCTATGAGCAAATATTAATGACTTTAAATATAATTAAAAAGTTTAGTATGAATATAATTATAAAATATTTAAAACGGGTTATAACTAACAAAATTCGTGGTAAGAATATAACCATCATTTATTTTAATCAAGTCTCTGCATCGCCGCCGCCGCCACCACCACCTGGTAAGGACATCCTCTTGGTAAATCCTAATTTTTTTTTCCGGAATTGATTTGATTTCTTGAATTGGAAAAATTCTGTACAGTATTGATTCGCAACTATCATAAAATGTTGTAGAGATCATCAACTTGCACATTTATAGAGGTTGGGGTTCAACCTACTATTAGGGAAATAGGTTTGGAACAAATAGTACATTTTTTTCCCATTTGATTCAACAAAATATATTCCAGGAAAAAAAAAAGAAAGGAGTTACCAAGAGGACGTCCTTACCTGGTGGTGAAAGCGGCGGGGGCGGCGATGCTGTTGGTGGTGACAGCGGTGGGGGCGACTTTGCTGGTGGTTGGAGTATATCAACCATAGTCTCATTGTAGAAGGGAAAATCAGTTTCAAAGCGAAGATAGCAACTGGGCCTAAGGATTCTACCTCCATAAGGACCAATTTGAATGCGTAAAGCAGAATCTTTTAAGCAATCATCACATTCCTTCGGTGTTATATCAGGTGTGCACTGCTCAAACGCATAATTTTGCTCTTTTTTCCGGTTAACTCGCCTATCTGCAGCAAATTTCATGGGGGAGCTATTATAGGCAGTCTGGTTTCGAAGACTATCCAATAGTATGTTAAGATCCTGGTAAAACTCGTCTAGATTTGTGAGTACTTTTTCATTACTATAACCCTGGTCTGAAGGAGAATACGCAAGAGTTCCGAAGATACTCTCGTTGGAGTATCGTACCATGCAAAATTCGTGCCAAAAAATAGCCTGTTTTTGATTCGGACACTTCTTTAAGATTTCAACCGTAGCATTTTTGACATAATCACGACATTGATAAGGCTGAAGATCTGCTCTACAGAGCGCAATGACATTGACTCTGTCGGAATTTTCTCCGGTTGAAGCATTGTAGAATCCATTGTTGTCAATATTAGGCGAGACAGTGGAGAGGAGGGTATCAAGGTTTGTCTTGTACGTGCTATTACTTGTGTAAGTACCGTTAGCTGTACAATTATAATTGAAATTAATATTTGTTGGGAACTCGGATTTGACAGTAACAACAAGGTTTATCAGACAGATTAGGAACACAAAATTAGGAAGCCATTTCCGATAACTCATTGCTATAGTATGATAGCCTCTATAATTTAGTAGGTATATGATTTGGAAAATCAAATGAATTTGGCATGAAGTTTATGCTTTGAAATATGGAGGAGAAAATGCGTACGTAGCAGGTAAAAAATCCCGATCATTGACCATTTCAACAAGATTTTTTTTCCTCACGAAATTGGAATCCACTAGAGTGGAAAAATAAATAAATAAACTCACGAAATTTTATTAATGTTAAGATGCCCAAATACAAATAATTAACTATTTATTTATAAGTGTTTACATGAAAATCTAATTTAAAAAACTAAAATTAAAAAGAATAAGAAATAAATTAAATGACAAAAATAACACTAAAACTTTAAAAGCAGTTTTCGAATCCTAAGCAAATTCGAATGGCTAAAACCATCGTATGTCACAAAGCCTGAGTTTAGTTCGGCCCGTTACCCAAAAATGTATTATGAGCCCAAATCAAAACTCGAACGCCAAATTTGTATTTTACTGTTTTCCCTTTTCGATTCAACTGTTCCTCAATCCATCAACCATCTATTCTACATCGTATGATTGTCCAATATAATTACAGATTGAGGAGCTTAGGCACCATTCAGGGTTGTCTCGTCTAGTTGGAAACAGAGGCTCTTGATGACCTCAACTTTCATTTCTGAGAAACAAGGAAATTCCGATATTTCATTACGTTTAGGGTAAGTACGGTACATTATTTTATTTTTATTTTTAAATTTCAGAACGACACTACATTTTTTTATTTTTTTTTTATCTTTATCTTTCATCTACAACAGTTTTGTAGTGAAATTTACAAGCTATGACTCTGAGAAGGGGAAATTCCCAAAGACCGAGTCCAAGTTCAAGAGCTCGATGGTGATAGACTAATTTTTTCTTTGTAATGTACTACTTTTTCCTGGCAGGAAAACCTTGTTATATTAATTAATGTGTTTTGAGAGATTTAAAAAGTCAAATTAAAGATGGATAATAAATTTTAATCTTATGCCAATGCAAGGACGCATCAAACTTTCAAATTATATGTTGTGGCTGTTTCAGAAAAATTATTTAATCGAAATGTTGTATTCAATCGTTCAAGCTATCAATTTATTGTGAATTAAAAAAAAAAAAAATCATGTTAAATTAATGCGGGATGTCAATTAAATTATTGATAGATTTTCATTTATTGAAGGCGTGATGAAAGTCAAGTCAATATAATTGTTTTTAATCATAAATTATTTTATATTTTAATCAACTATTTACAATTTTAGGTGATAAAAATGTGTGTTTTTGTGTTAAGTGATAAAAAAGAAAATATTGAACAATTTATGAAAGATTGGATTGCTTCTCTTAATAATGTCGACTTTTTAACGTGAAATTTCAAATCTTAATATGGTATCATAGCTCATTAAATTGAAACGAACAATTCGATGCGATTAAAAATCAAAAAATGAGGGCTATTTTCAACAAGTTCCTTCTGCTCACTTCACAACAATTCAGAATAGTTGAGGGCTATTTTCAAGAACCCATCCTGTTCTTTTTCCCTCTATTCAATAACAGACGAGAATCAAGAATTCTAAGGTTTTTAGCAAAAACCCATAAATTATGTATCCCAGAAAGAAAAAAGTGAGCAGTTTTCAGACAGAATTTTAATATTTTTAAATGGATTGACCACAGAATGTAAGAAACTCCTCTAATACGGAGACACGACGTGCCTCCGTGCACGCGGACGGAGGCACGTCGAGCTTCCGTCCGCTTGCACGGAGGCACCCTGCGCACGGTGTGCCTCCGTGCACCCGGACGGAGGCACGTCGCAACGTGCCTCCGTGCACGGAGGCAAGCTGCGCACTAAGGCATCGCCATGCCTAACATCGTACACCCAATCTGCGATCCAAATTTTAACTTTGGAGCCAGCAGAAAATGATAGACTTTCCAGAGAAAATTAAATTCGAAAAGGAAGAGCAAGAAAATGAT